AAGGTGTCCCTGCCCATGGCAGGGGGGGTGGAACTAGATGATCTTTAAGGTCCCTTCCAACCCAAACCATTCTATGATTCTATGATTCTATGACTCTGGGATGCATCTTCTCAGGTCCCATAGAGTTATATATGTTCAGGTTTCTCAGGTGGTCACAGAACGTATCTTCCTTGATACATGTGATGTTTCCTTAACTTCTTTAGCATGATAATGACACCAGACACAGTACTAGGAAATGCTGGGCACCTTCATTCAGGTTCTGCTGTGGCAAAGGAATTTAGGGGTGTTTAGATCTCACAGAGGTACCCGGCATCTTGCATGGGTAAAGCTGTCCTGATACGCTGGTGTGTACAGCAGAAGTCCACAGCTCAGCTGAAGGTGGGCCTTTAAGGACTCCACCAGCTGGTATGGGGGCCTCTAATGATCACACCTTCTCATTCTCACCCTCCTTTTCACCCATCCTACTCCACCCTTCCTTCCCCCTCATTTCCCCTTCAGGACTACCCTATGGATTTGGTCACCAGCCCAGCATCCCAGGGCCCTGGCTCCCTGTACCTAGGAAAACATCAAACCATGCTTTTCAGCAGGTACTGCCAGTCAGCCATAACTTTTCTTCTGTGATGAAGGTTTTCCTAAGAATTTAGCAGAATTTAGCTAGGATGTTAAGAAATGAGTTTGTTTTTTTCAGTTTGTGTCTTTCCAGATTTTTTCCCTTTTGTTTTGTCTTCTGTCTTCCCTTATTTTAACTCTTCAGTTACAGCAGCTAAAGAGAAAAAACATGAAGTATGTTTTCAAGGGAAATATTTTGAAAACTGGAAAAAATAGGAACAATTCATACAGCTTTCACTGCAAATAAAAGTATTTTCAGACATCAGTAATATTTATAGTTCATTGACTGTGCTATGCACATGTGTTAAAAATGGTCCTTCAACTGACTGTCTTCCAAGGTAGGTAGTTGCATCAAATCTAAATTCTCTAGTCCATGACTTTTTGTTGTCATTAGAAGAAAGAACCAGATCCAACTTGGCCAGCGCCCTAAGTGAGAAGTCATTGTGTCCTGGGATTGGAAGTGTTTGAATTATGGATCTAGGTCCACTGACCAAAATGGTTTGAAGGTCCTCTAATGGATTTTATTTCTAAATGTTAATAAATGTAAATTATTAGAGACATATAAATACAGTCCCATGACAGTGCTGTCCTAACTCTAATGGTGTGTCTGTTCTCTGTTAATCTTAAAATAAATCAATAGCCATTCTATCTTCTTTTTGCTTTCCTTGTGGCAGTATGGATTGATTTTAGGGGAAAAAAAAAAAAAGGTAGTAGTATATTAAAAAAGAGCCAGATGGGTGATCCAGACTGAGGTGAATTACTTTTTCAGACCTACCTGGCTAAACTACTATGCCCGTTTGCACTGAGGTGGATTTTAACCAAAGTCTTAAGAAAAAAAAAAAATTGGGTAAATATCCTTGGCATAGTAGTGATTTTCTTGTTATTAGATAGTTTTTATATAAGATAGTTATATATATAGTTTTCTTGTGCTACTGTGAGAACACAAAAAGGAAAATACTCTTACTTAGTTACTATATGCTGGTACCTGTTTTCCGGTGAGAAAGAAAACCAAAGTTTTGTGGTTTATCCTATATTTCATCCCCAGCGATGCCTTTCCCTCACTATCTAGTTGAATTCAGTACCAGTCTTGAATGTATCATTTTCTAATCATGAAATTGTTTGAACAGTGACACCCAGACATAGCCAGTTGAGATGGTTGAATAATAATATCCAATAGAGACCTTAGACTCTGTGGGAAGAGGCTTGAAAGACAAAATAAGCTGCCTGCACAGGAAACAGATGATTTCCAAAGTGCAACGAGCAGCACCTGTTGCTCCTCCTTCTGAGTGTTATTTCTATCAGGACATCGGGTGTGATGGACCATCCTCAGCCTGCTCCAGTGAGATTATTTTTGAAGAAGCATGGAAGGTTTCTTCCCATGAGCATGCTTTTTTCAAAAATGGTGAAATGCAAGACTTAAAAATATGTGGACATATTTCCCTACTCTCCCTAATTCCTAGAGAGTTTGAGGAAAATGACTACCTTTGTTCTTTGATACGTTGTTTGCAAATTTGTTGTTGGAGGTGATTATGTTGAAAAAATGTGAAATATGCACCACCAGTAAGTTTCACTTTCTATGGCCCTTGATAAAAAGCACTTTACAGTAGCCTTTGTTTTGGACAATCTTGCTTTTCAACAAAATTAAGTCGTATCATGTTCAGATTTATCCAAACCAGCCTGTATATAGTTTAAACTGTTACTTCTCCCCTCTTCTGATTTGCAAGCTGCGGCTGTAGCGGTCAGTGTTTAACCCCTGGTCTGTACTCTGAGCAGCGTGTCACTGTTAAGGCACAGCTCTTCTAATGGCTGAGTGTCACGGAGCTGCTACAACGTGCTTGGGTCAAACAGCTTGGCCTGGACAAAATAGTTTCAATAGCACTTGCCTGACTACAGTATTAGAGAAAATATTGGACAACAGAAGAATCAAATTAAAAGTCTGTGTTTCTTCCCTTCCCTCAACTTCTGTGTGAAAATATTGAACTCATACTCAAAAGATCCTGTGTTTGACTTAAATTTGAACAGAGAATGAATTAAACTGAAGTAAAACATGGTGTAACCTGTGACCAAATGTTCTTATCTCTGGTTACACATAAAACAGGTCATAAATTAACCCCAGTATATCCTCTCAGCTGAGGATGTTCTATCCCAGAAAAGTGAGTGTGCGTATGATGATGAGACCAGCATTGCTTTTATTGTTTGATGGAGAGGGGATTGTAAATAAAGCACCACTACGTGATGTCTCTGCAGAGTTTAGGCAGACACTCTAATACCATGTGTATTTATGGTTTGTTGCACATGAAGAACTGTCTCCTCCAACCATTGCCAACGAGTACCATGTGAGAGCCTATCCGTCTGCGTTACCATCAATGCACAGACACTCCAATGTCAAGCCACAACCGCGCTTGTATGATTCATAGCTGATGGAAAGAAAGACTTATTAGTCATCGACTTCATTGCCCTTCCTATATAGAATTATTCTATATTGTGCTATACATTTACTACTTTTCTGTTGGTCTGATTTTAAATTATTGAAGTAATGGAGCTCCTACCAATTCCCTCGGGAAAATGTTCTAGAGCATAAAAAAATCTGCTGTCAAGAAGTATACTAATTTCCACATACTCATTTTTCCTTTATTAACTTCATTTCATTGCACCAACTACTGTCTTCTGGGCATTTTACCATGATCTCACTTTGAAACTTAGGCTTTGTACCCTGCAAATGTGTCTTGTTTATTTTCAGCTACTATATGTGCATATGAAGGGGTACAAATTAACCTCTACAGGCTTATAAATTTGGCCTGTGTGTAGTAGGACTAAGCCAATAAAACTGCTAAAATTAATTGGTTCATTTTAGAGCAACATATCTTTGCAAGAGCTCCAGAAGTAATAACAAATAACAGCTAAAAACTTCATGTGAGCTGAAAGTTGATTTCCTAGGCTGCTTTTTGCAAAGGATAGTTGCATGGAGTGTTAGCAGGCAGAGTTCAATTAAGGTAAAACCTTGTGTGGACATTGAAAGAGAGTAGATTGAGATTGGACATCAGGAAGAAATTCTTCACGGAGAGCGTGCTGAGGCACTAGAACAGGTTGCCCGGAGAAGCTGTGGCTGCCCCATCCCTGGAAATGTTCAAGGCCAGGCTGGATGAGGCTTTGAGCAACCTGGTCTAGTGGAAGGTGCCCCTGCCCCTGATTTTGATTTGAGTTTTCAAGTTTATCATCTAGAGGATTGGTTGGATACTTTTTTTGATTTGAGTTTTCAAGTTTATCTAGAGGATTGGTTGGATACTTCAGGAAGCTGAAGAATTTACAGTTTCCCTGTGGAGGTACACTTCTGGTGAGCTTCCCTAGGCCGTTTCAGTGCAATCTCTACTTTAAACAAAAGTCTGTGTTGGTTGTGCTGCCTGTTATTTCTGCCCTGAAATGGATAAAGAGCACTTGCTGCTCATCACAAATGCATGGTACA